CACACACACACACACACACACACACACACACACACACACACCTTTTTTCTTCTTCTTCTTCCGCTCCTCCTCCTCCATCCCCTCGTCCCCTCCCCCACCCTTGTTCTCCCCCTCTCTCTCTCCTCGTTCTCCCTCTCTCTCTCTCCCTCGTCCTCTCCCTCCTCCGCTTTTTTTTTATTTTTCCTTTTTAATTCTCCATTGAAATTGACATTTCTTTTGTTCCTTGTTCTCGCAGGTGCATCATTAGCGTCTGCCACGTCAGCAGGTGTTTCGTCCGCACCTGCCACGTCAGCAGCCGCCACGACAGCAGCAGCCACGTGAGCAGCAACCGCTTCAGCAGCAGCCGCAGCACCCACATCAAAAGCCACTGCACCTTCCAGTGCCATGTCAGCAGCCACCACGACAGCAACAGCCACGCGAGCAGCAACCGCTTCAGCAGCGGCAGCAGCAACCGCTTCAGCAGCAGCCGCAGCAACCGCTTCAGCATCAGCAGCCACTGCACCTTCCAGTGCCAGCTCCCGCAACAGCATCAAAAGCAGCAGCCACATCAGCAGCAGCCACATCAGCAGCAGCCACTTCAGCAGCAACCCCGCACTGACTCTGCAGCATCACCGGTGTCATGGCAGGGGAGCAACGAGAGCTGTTCCGGGAGGACATGACCTGCAGTAGGGACCACGTCGTGTGGACTTGGGTCACTCCTGGGCAGATGCTGCCGGGCAATGCTCGTGGGTTGAGAAGACTACGGTGCAAACTCTGCAACAAGGAGTACTCCGGTAATCGGAAGCGTGCGTGGGAGCACTTCATTTTGGCGAGGGCATCTGCCAGGTGTCCACATTCGAACCTGTCGATTTGGAGGAGGCTGCATGGCATCGGTGTACAACTGCCACCGGACTTGCATGAGAGGGTGCAGCGCGTGTTGGAGATGGAGAAGAGCGACGAGGGGGACACTCCTGTTCTGGGTGGAGGAGAAGGGGTCGAAGGCGGGATCGCTGAGGATCCCGGGGAGGCACCGGGTGGGGACACCATGGAGGTTGACATCGGCGAGGATGAGGGGACGAGGGGTGTTGTGACAGGCGGCCTTGCTACTGCAGGGAGGGCCAATTCCTCGCAGGTTGTGGTGCAGGGGGCGCACACACGTGGCCCGACGAGGCAGACGCGCATCAGGAGGTTTGCGAAGAACCCGAGGCAGGAGGACATGGATCACTCCTGCTGCGAGTTCTTCGTGGAGAACACCATACCGTTCAACGCTGCCAGAAGCAGGAGCTTCAAGAAGTTCATGTTGACGTGTATCGGACCACAGCCTGTGGGAGTCATCCACTCGTGCCTACTGGGTACAACCCCCTCAGGTGTCGCTTGCTCGATCGTTTGAACAAGAGGTTGGTGGATGAGGAACAGGCGATCCGTGACGACTGGCAGGTGACTGGCTGTACGTTCATAATTGATGGCACCACAAACATCTGTGGACGATCACTTATGAACTACATCCGTGCACGCTGATCAAAACCTGTTTTCGTGAAGTGCGAGGATGTGAGCGAGGGAGACAAGGACTCTGCAGTTGTCATTGCTGGGTGGAAGCGGTTCTTCAGAGAGTGGGGGGTGGAGAAGATTACGGCGATATGCACTAACTCTTTCGCCGGGAACACGAGTGCTGCGAGGATGTTGAGGGAGGATCCTGAGTTCACGCAGATCTATTGGATCCATTGCACGGCGCATTGCATGGACCTCCTGATGCACGATATAGGCAAGAAGGAGTGGGCGGATGAGATCATCACCAAGGCCAACAAAATAGTGAACTTCTTCCGGATTCACAGGTGGCCTCGGTCTCAGTTGAGGACGCAACTGTTGAAGTACCCTGACTTGAAATGCACCTGCCTCCTTCGGCCTGCTCAGACAAGGTTTGGGACAAACTATGTGATGCTGCAGCGACTTGAGGTGTGCGAGAGGGCCATCGTGCGTATCATCACCGGACACGGTTGGGAGACAATGATGTGGCAAAGGGATATTAGGGTGAAGGCCTACTTCGTGGAGGAGACAGTTCTTGACAAAGCATTCTGGGCTGATGTCAAGAAGCTGACTGCTGTCATGAAGGGGCCTTATGATGTGTTGCGAGAGGTGGACAAAGATGTCCACTGCTTGTCACGCATCTATGATATGGCGTGTCGGCTGCCTGGCTTTGTTCGCTCGGCCCCCCTCTCCGCGGACCAGCGAGATGACCTTCTCAGGAATGTCGGCAACAGGACGGACATACTGCTCAGCCCCATCCACGCCGTTGCACGTCTGCTGGATCCTATGTTGAAGGACATTACTGTTTTCAGTAATGTCGACCTTATGGCACAGTTCGAGAGCGTTGTGGAGCGGCTGATCGGGAAGAGTGGGAGCTCGAGATTTGACGACTGCATGGACCAGTTGTACGAGTTCCAGTTTGGGAGAGGAGTCTTTTGCACCCCGTAGGCAAAGAAACGGGCTGAGAAGGACAATGCGGTGCTATGGTGGGAGGCGCATGGTGCAGGGCATCCAGAGATCCGAGAGCTGGCGCTGAAGGTGCTCTCCATCTGGACGACTTCCTCTCCGGCTGAGAGGAACTGAAGCACTTGGGCTCTCGTGCAGACGAAGCCGAGGAACAAGTTGCACCACCAGTGCACCGAGAAATCGGTGGCCTCGCACTGGAGCTTGAGGCTCAAGAGTATGGGGCAGGATGAGGCCACTGTTGCAGGAGGGTGGTTGGGGCTCGCAGCCGACTGGGAGGACGAGGACATGGAGGGTGACATGGCAAATGTCACAGAGGCAGTTGATGACATTGAGGCAGCTGGTGAGGGCACTGCTTCTGCGGTGGGCAACACAAACATTCGCCCCGATCCCACAGTGCCGTCCACTTCGAGACCGGCGCAGAGGTTAGTGCAGGTGGAAGAGGAGGATGAGGATGAGGCCGATGAGGACGATGACGACGATGTCCCCGACGAGGAGTGGGTGGACGAGAGATCGGACTCGGGCAGATCGTGGACGAGGAGAGAGGGCATGGTCCCCTATATTGAAGGCACACGATCTGGATTCAGGTCCCAGACGCGGGCGCGGCCAGAGGCGCAGCAGGGGGAGCAGCAGCAGCAGCAGGAGCAGGTTGAGGAGCAGCAGGAGCAGGCTGAGCAGCAGCAGGAGGGGGTTGAGCAGCAGCAGCAGCAGCGTGGGCAAGGGGATGAGGAGCAGAAACAGGAGCAGCAGCAGGAGCAGCAGTGTGGGCAAGGGGATGAGGAGCAGCAACAGCAGCGAGGGGATGAGGAGCATCAGCAGCATCAGACGGATGAGGAGCAGCCGCAGCAGAGGGAGAAGGAGCAGCAGCAGCAGAGGGTGGATCCCGCAGTCCAGCAGGAGACCGCAGTGCAGTCGTCCAGAGATGTGCACGAGGAGGGTGAGGCAGAGGGCGAGCAGGGTCGCTGCGAGGTGCGAGGATTTTACGGTTCTTCTCAGCGGTCGCCTCTCGTTGGGCAGCATGGAGCACATCCCGGTCGTGTGTGGGATCCCCTCGCTTATCGTGCTCCGCGAGGACGAGGGAGGGCGGTTGCTGGACGTGGGAGAGGGCGGACTCATGTGGTTGCTCAAGGCACCGATGGGGTTGCACGAGGCTCAGGGTGTCCGAGAGGGCGGCCACGAAAAGAGAAACCACTGGAAGCGGTAGCAACAACAGGACTACCAGCAGCAGAGGAGTCAGATGATGACCCCCATGAGAGTGCACCATTGCAAAGGAAGAAGAGGAGGACGGAGCCTGCTGCGGAGACGGAGACACACAGCGGGAGTCACTAAGAGAGAGAGAGAGAGAGAGAGAGAGAGAGAGAGAGAGAGAGAGAGAGAGACCCCATTGTGTTTCACGTTCATGCTCTCATTGTGCTCCATGTTCCCACTGGCGAAACTGTTTCATTGTCGGGCTGTCCGAACTCAAGGACTTTCGTTGTCTGTTAGAGGGGTTGCTTCATTGACTGTTATTTCATTTCGAATCTGCTCATCTTGGTGGAGTGGGGGTTGTCTGTGTGTGTGTGTGTGTGTGTGTGTGTGTGTGTCTGTCTATGCGTGTGCCCCCGTGTGTGTGTGTGTGTGTGTGTGTGTGTGTGTGTGTGTGTGTGTGTTGTCATATTCGTTGTACACTAAAAAAAGCATGACTGTGTCAGACTGTCACAGACTTCTTATGTGGTTGAACACCGACAGTGTGGCCAGGATGCAGGGGAGATGTGTGTGTGTGTGTGTGTGTGTGTGTGTGTGTGTGTGTGTGTGTGTGTGTGGTCATATTCGTTGTACTGTCTATACACTCAAAAAAGCATGACTGTGCCTGACTGTTTCGTCGGACTGTCACCGACTTCTCATGAGGTTGAACCCCGACAGTCTGGCCAGGATGCAGGTGTGTGTGTGTGTGTGTGTGTGTGTGTGTGTGTGTGTGTGTGTGTGTGTG